CAAAGTAGTATTTGCCTCACTGTGTTGTCCATGCTGGCTTAGGAGTCTTGAGCTAAATCAATCTTCCTGCTTTAGCCTCCCAAGTATCTGGGACTGCAGACATGTACAACTATACCTACTTTTCTTTTAATATTATCTGCACTATCAGCAGAGCTTTAGCTTAAAACCTAAGCAAATATTGGTTGGTTAAATATTGAAAAGATTTCCCTGTGGAGGGAAAATAAAGGCTAAGCAGGCTAAACACAACAGTGTAGTTGTAGAAGAGGCAAAGGAAACAACAGAGTGAACCTGCCAAATCCTTATTTTATCTTGACTATTAGAGTATACAAATGGATGAAATTACTTTCCAGTAAACACTTGCACATGGATTGTTATAAATGAACAGAGGCTAGAATAACAGAATAGTCTCACAAGATACATGTTAATATAATTGAAAACAAAATAGCAATAAACCTTTTATTGATATTAACACTAAGCACAGATTTGGCTAGAGAAATAGTCTTAGTATGAAGAATTGATAATATTCCTTACTTCACTACAGACTGAAATCAATAATATAAATTAATCTCTATATTAGATATCATCTATAAAATATGATATTACTTCTTACACAAAATTTACTAGTGTTTCAACAAATATATATATATACACATATATTACCATGAACTCAAAATAGTATCACTTTTTTAAAATGACAGCATATTTGTGATTTTATGTTCTTACATGATAGAGACCTGATAGGAATTAATGAAAATGGATTCAGAGACAAAATTATTTTGGATTATTCTAGTAATTTTGTTAGTGTTATTTCCTTATACTAGAACATAGCAAAAGCATAGCTGCTATTAAATATGAAGGAGAGAGCTGGAGAAATGGCTCAGGGTTAAGATCATGTTGCTCTTGCAAAGGACCCATGTTTAGCTCTTTCCATATTGGGCTAGTCACAAGTGCCTGTGACTCCAACTCCACTGGCCTCTGTGGGCACATGCACTCTTGTGCACATACATACATACATACATACATACATACATACATACATACACGTAACTAAAAGTAAAGTAAATCTTTATAAAATGAAGAATTATTTAATATTCTGGAATTTTCAATTTCAAATATTATTAATAGCACACAGGAAAGAATTGTTGGAAGGGATATAGATTCCTTCAAAGGATGCTTAGAAGAGAGCAATAAATTTTGTGGAAGGTTACTGTTATCTGTTTAACTTCACAGGGAAAGACTGACTAAATATAAAAACAAAAATACAGAAGAAGCATTTAATGATTCTAAGAGGTCTACTTTACATAAAAAATAATCTTTAAAGAATGAAGACATTGTAGTGATGGATGTCACTGAGACAATTTTGTTATCTACCCTTTATATTCTTCACATCTTTCAATCAGTTTGCAGCAAATATCATAGTATTTTTTCATGTAATAATCCTCAGGATGAGACTTCATGGAGAAAAAGATATTTAAGAAGTGATTCTATACGGAGTTTTAACAAAGAGTAGAATAATTTGGCATGAAGTTTAGGTATTTGAACTCAGGTGAAATAGGTTCCAAAAATTGTAAATTATACAACAACAGTTGTTAGTTTTTAGTATTATTAAAATGTATCATTCTGCCGGGCGGTGATGGTGCATGCCTTTAATCCCAGCACTTGAGAGGCAGAGCCAGGCAGATCTCTGTGAGTTCAAGGCCAGCCTGGTCTACAGAGCAGGATCCAGGATAGGCACCAAAACTACACAGAGAGACCCTGTCTCGAAAAAAATCAAAATAGATAAATAAATAAATAAAGAGTTGTATCATTGCTTTTGTGTTATTTCCTTATACTATTTATATTTATTATTTATATATATTAGACTATACTTATTTCCTTACTGTAATGTATTTCTTGCTTGCTATACAGAACTCCATTTTACAGGTATCCTTTTTACAATGGGATCATTTAATAATAACTCCACTGGTGAGGTTTAAAAGAGATTCATATCGTACACATTATTCTTAAATAGTATAGTTAGAAGTTTGGTTAATTATATGACACATATGAAACTGTTTATAGGTCCTATTTACTTTTTTTCATTTACTGTCTTTCGCTATTTTTAAAGCTTACTGATACTGTACATCCTTCAGGTGGGATTCTTTGTGGAAGATGAATTTCACTGTCAGAAATAAGTAATATATAGAAGACTGAGAGATTGCTTTCATATAATAATAGTCAAAGCAAATCCTAGTATAAAGCCCCCTTTCCTCAGAGGTGCATCACTGATAGCATTAACAATTTGTTCTAGCTTTACTCAGGTTATGTTATTTTCCTTGTCTTATAAATATAAAATAGCTTTGGATATCGAACTTACTTTTTAAGATATAGATGGCAAATTGATTACAGAAACTATATAGTTTACGTCATAACTACCCAGTTCTGGCATCCCTGAAGCAAAAAAAAAAACAGCCATAGGTATTATAAATGATTGAAAGTTCCAAAATCTAAGGAAAGAGATATTTATTCAGGTACAAGAGTTTGCAGAACACCAAATAACCAGCCCAGAAAAGAAAACCCCATGTCACATAATAATCAAAATACTAAATATACAGAACAAAAAAAGGATATTGAAAGCTGCAGCAGAGTAAGGTCAAGTTACATATAAAGGCAGACCTATTAGAACTGATGTTCTAAAAATTCTGAAAGATCATAGATGCCAGCCCAAACTGCTGTACCAAGAATAGTTACCAGTCATAAGCAAAGGAGAAACATATTACATAATATAATCAAGTTTAGGGAATTTGTGACCACTAAGGTAACTTTACAGAGACTACTGAAATGAAAACTTGGGTCAGAAAAGGAGATTAAATATACCCAAGATGGCACAAGAAATAAACAGTTTGAGAACAGCTAATCAAAAGAGGTTTACAAGTGATTGATTGAGGCTGGCTAAGTTTTATATAATTATTGCAAACACTAAAGTTGAACTTCCATATATAATTTTTACTTGACCCGAAAGGCTATTTTATTGGTTTGTTTGAATCATTTTAAAATATAAAGATGGTTCTCAGATTGCCAGTAATATGAGAAAACAGACAATAGGCAGAGTCCTGTTTATAGGCTGTAATTTACTAACTATATGTTAGAGCTCTCCTATCCTAGTTGGTACTAGTATCTTTAACTGCTAATCTACAAGCTCAAAATATGTGTGAGCTTTTAGAATACTCTGAGACTCTGAGATTAAGAAAAAGATCCTGCTGGGCAGTAATGATGCACACCTTTAATTCTAGCACATGGGAGGCAGAGACAGGCAGATCTCTGTAAATTCCAGGACAGCCAGGGCTGTTATACAGAGACACCCTGTCTTGAACAACCAAAGAAAAAGAATCCCAAGAAATTTATGCTTTTCCACTTGAGTGTTTAATATATATTATATATTCATGTGCTGGTCAAGATGTTGAGAATACAGAGCAGAAGTTCTCTATGATGGGCTGATGAAGTAGCTCAGAGGGAAAATGTACTCAACACCAAGCCTGAAGACTTTTGTTTAAACCTCAGTGCTGGAAGGAGAGAGCTGGCTCCAGCACGTTGTCTTGACTTCCATTTTATCCTGCAGCTCAGGTGGTGTGCACACACTACCCATCATGCATACAGCATAAATAAGTTTAAATAAGTTTAAGTTTGTGAGTATTCTCCATGAAATTCATCATAAAGATACAAAAGTTTAAATAAGGTTATTTAAAGTTCATATATAGAGACTCTTAAAGATGAAGCATAAACCTAAGAAAATAGATAGTGTGCAATATTAGAGATAAGTTCTCTGGATCAAAATAAACCCAGGAAGGATGATTGATAGTCTAGGCAGAAAAAAAAAAAAACATTGTAATTAAAATAGGCCATTCATTAAGGAAGATGACATTCTAGCAATGACCTAAAGGACGAAAGAGGAATGAATCATGTAAAATGATGATGCCTCTTTAGTGTAAGAGAATAGAGGTATAGGGTGACTGGCTTCTATTTTAACAGGAAACCAGTTGGGAGGCAATTCATAGTGTAGGTGGAAAAATGAGAGTGGCGTAGATCAAAAGACGAAGGGGAGAAGAATGGAAATCAGAGGATTGGAGAAGAGAGGGTAGGAAAGGAGGAGAGAGGATAAGAGGAAAAGGGAGGAGTTAGTTTTGAGGCCAGGATTTTATTGTGTAGCCCTGGCTGTCCATAAACATATGATTCTCCTGCCTTAGCCTCTCAAGTGGTAGAATTAAAGGCATCAGCCACCATGCTTAGCTTGTCAATATACTTTGAAAGAGGTAACATTTGGAATAAGAGTAAGAGAAGTCAAGTAAAAGACACAGTATTTGGCTTTCATGGTTTGAGGAATGAATTGTTAAATTCCGTTTAGTGAAATGAAGAACATTGAAAGAAAGGTAGATCTAGGGAATTAAATTAGGGGTTTTACTTCAGTCACAGAAATGTGAACTGCTTTGGAACTCAAAGCAGATGTCTGCAGAATTTTTCAATCATTGATATAAATTAAAATCCATGACAGTTGATGAGATAACCAAGGTGTTAGCTAGAATTAATGTGCATTTATTGGTATTACTGCCCCTGATGTTTTTTTCCTAATCCACTTTTTACAAGGTAGGTAGTTTCTAGAAATTATCCCCTCTGCTCACTTATAAAGAATGGAAGGAATCCCACTGAATCAGAACCTTGACCTGAACAGAAAATACTATTAGTTGACCATCCTCAAATTTTACCTTGATGTGAATTTTTCCCAAGTACCTCCTTGCTGGAAACTGTTTGCACTGGAGGTAAGTGTGAAAGGGGAGGTTGTGGGGAATGATGGGGTGAGGGCTTCCTAAACCTTTCTCAGACCTCAGAAGTGGTTGGATTCTGAGGAAGAGAAGGTTCAGGCTGGTTCTTCTTTCCCTGAACCAGTTCACAGAGCCCTAAATTTGACCTGCTTTCCTCAAACTGGGAATCAGAAATCCCTTTTCTCTTCTGTTTTTCTGCTGCAGAAATTCCCACCATTCCCATTTTGTGGGCTCCAGAAAGGGGTAAGCGAAGACTTCAATCCCAGCCAATCATTGCCAGATTAATACTTTTTAGTGTTTTGGTTTATTTTACCATCATAAAAAAATGCTTGGACCCATTTTTCCCATCTATTTAATTTCCTTGTGGATTGTTATGTATCTATGTTCTAGGGTCATTCTGTATCCCTGGGCAGTAGAGTTCAGATCCATCTGCTGTTTCCATTTGTGTGCTATTCTCTTGTGGATTCTCATACGCAGTTTATGAATTATTTCCTAGATGGAAGACACCCAATTCAGGGACTGTTTTCACTCCTCGGTCTCATCCTTTCCTGAATGGTGTTTTGTTCCCCCGCTGACAGCTTGTCATTACCTTACTCTACTGCTTCTGATGATCTGCCATTGCTTCTCTACTGTCCTGTCTTCCTGCTTGATTGCCGTTGGATTTTCTCTACTTTTTGCCTAATTTTATCTGCTGAACAATTTGTGTTCTTCACTCATTGGTGCTTTGCCCATCAGCAAATGGCCTGGTACCTCCATATCCATCTGCTATTTTAGCATTTTAGACTGCCCAGCATTGTCTATCTGCCCCTCACCACTCCTCTATACTCTGAACTATTAAGTTCTCCATCTGCCTGCCTGATTTTGCCCTCTCCAATATGCTTATAATATTGTAAGTAGGTACAGATTATTTAGTACTCCTACTCCAAATGCCTTGTGCCACTGGATTGGACTGCTGACTAGATTGCCTGACTATTGCCTCATCTTCCTATTTGCTTCCATTGGCTGCACCGTTATTTTATTTGAGTCATGGCTTTCATCTTCAGTGAATTTGTGACTTGCTGGTTTGCTCATACTGCCTCTTTTATATTTCTCTGCATCTAATGAATCACTAGCATTGTTCCCTGTTATCTCTAAAACTGATCAGATGTTACTTCCAAGGAAAATTTTGCCTATGTATTGTCCAAACATGTCTTAAAAAATAGGAAAATGCTTTGTTATTTAACAGCCCAGTTTAGTTTACTCATAAACTGATTCAAAACTCAACTACCACATGTAATTTTTGCTTTTTAATACAAGTCATCATTCTTCTCTTTTTTTAAGGACATTTTAAAACATGCATCACCTTTGCCCCAGTTATCTTTCAACATCACATGTTATACACATTGTTTTCTTATGTATGGGATCTTTCAATAATTTTTCATGTTCTAAATTTATTTCTTAGCTTATTTTACCTAATTTCTCAAAGCTTTCATCAAAACAATTTGTTTAATTTTATCTTTTAAGTAAGACCAGAATTTTTTGAAACTTTAAAAATATTAAATTTAATTATTTTCTATCTCTTTGTAGTTTAGATTAGAGTAGCTTTCAGCTCTGCTCCACTTTTTCCTTAGAGAATATAATTTCTTAGCCTCCCCATAACCTACATAGTATAGTGATTTAGAGATTCTTTTGATATATCCATCTTTCCCTCCTTTATAACTTCTTTTCTTGTGTGTGGGTAGAGTTTTGAAATTTACATTTTCAGTTGTTTACAGAGTGCTTGGCATCTAAAATTATTTTGTACTGTGAAGTTTGTAGTCTTACGTTGACATGAAAAGCCAAATATGAGAAGCAGAGAAGAATTTTGTAGAGTTTGAAAGTCTACAAAGAGATATAAAGTGGGGTGTTTACAAGTGCATGCCCATGTGTATATGTATATTTTAAATGTCCTTTATACTCACAGTATCATTATGTTTAAAATGTGAAAAATGAAAAGTATCCATATTCTATTTTATTTTATTAAAGCAAATATGATAGGGAAAAACCTTAAAAAGAAAGTGATAACTTTAGAGACTGTGGGAAAAAGTATTGACAAGATATTTTTAAGATTTCTATCTTAATAAAGAAAATTAATATGAAGAAAAAAGTCACTTTAGAAATGCCCAAATAATTTCCTAGATTTCTGGTGCATGTTTTTAATCCTAGCTTTTGGGAGACAGAGGCAGATATCTGTGAATTTGAGGCCAGTCTGGTCTACCTGTTGAGTTCTAGGCCAGGCCAAGAGAGAGCTACACAATGAGACCCTGGCTCAGAATCATCCAAAATAAGAATAATATATACCATATATATATGTATTTTTTTTAAACAAAAGTTCCCAATATTCCATCTCTAGGCCCTGGCATATTTTATTTTCTGTTTTATCAATTTGCCTATTCTCAGTACTTCATCTTAATGGAAACACATATTTTTTGTCTTCTGCCTTATTTTTCTCAACATAATGTTCTTAAGCTTCCACGAGGTAGCACGTATCAGAAGTCCATTCCTCTTTTCCATCCTTTGTATATGCCACACTTTATCAGTTCAGCTGTTAAGTAATCACTTGGGTTGTTTCTGCCTTCTGACTATTAGCAATAGTGCTTCTGTGAATACTGGTGTGAAAAGACTTTTCCCACGGCCTTTGGCTCTACCAACAGACGTATGTGTAGGGAGAAATTAATAGCAAAGAGTTCAGGGAAACATGCCTAATAAGCATGAAAAATAGATAAGTTCAAGACACTGTAGTATTAAAAGAAGAAAAAATGAACTTTTGGACAAGCTACAAAAGACCAAGTTATAAGATTTTAAAGGTTCTATAGTCTGTCTGTGAAAGAATGAAGTTACACAGGTCTTGAATGCTTTAGATAAAACAAAAATAATTCCAAAGAAGATTTAAAAGGTTTTTTTAAAAAAAACAAAACAAAAACAAAAAAAACAAGAGAATGATGTATTTCAAACCAAATAATGTAAGTGGCCATTTAAGAGAAGGGAGGTATTTGAAGGGCAAGGTTTCAATGAAGGTGACTAAGATGAGGAAACACAGTTGTATTTAGAGGAACCATCATTTCAATTCAATGGTCTTTCATCCTGGACACCAAATGTACTTACAAAGACTTTCCTAAAACAGATTCTAGAGCTATGGATTTCAACATTTTGTGTAAGTACATCACGGTGTGAGCTAAATCTAATTCTTTTTCTTTTATTGAAAATATTTATTTTCAAATATAATATATTCCTGACTACAGTTTCCCCTCCCTCTGCTTCCTTCAGTTTCTCCCAACCTCTCTTCCATCTGGGTCTGTCCCCTTTCTGTCTCTTATTCAAAAACAAACATGCTTCTAAGGAATAATAAGGTAGAACAAAACTAACACATTTGGAATAGGACAAAACAAACAGAAGGAAAGGAATTCAAGAAAAGGTACAAGAAACATATAGATGCAGAGACCCATGTGTCATTATGAGACAAGGAGCTTCCAGTGATCCCATTGAGTTTGTTTTCTGTTGACCACCAACTGCTGGGTGTGCAGGTTGACCTTAAGAATAGTATGTTTCTTTACTGAAATTCCCTTGGAGTAAATTTTCATTTGCAAGTGGGTATCAGTTGGAGATTGATTCTTTGTTATAGATGGGGACATGTGTCCACTTCTCCTTTCAGGTCTAGGACCTCTTCTAGTGCAGACCTGTGCAGACCCTGTGCATGTTGCCTCAGTCTTTGTGAGTTCTTATGTGTGTGGATTCTGTGAGTCCTTATGTGTGTTGATTCTGTTGGTGCTAAATCTAATTCTATACCACAGTGCCAAGACCTACAAAATTAAGTTAGAGATAGTCTTTGTCTTCAAAGTTTTAGAACTGGAATATTTAAAATAATAATAGATAAGGATAAAAAATACTTTAAATGCACAAGATAGTATGTTTCACTCCTATTTAGCCTTTGTTGGATTGAATTTTGTTTATCTACCCTTTATCAACTAAGTATCGTCACTAGACTAACATAGAAAACAGATTCGAGGAGAAGAATAAAATTTAACAACAAAATGCATTTTTAATATCATCTACCATATTTTGAATTTTTTCTTCCAATTTTGATTTTTGAAGAGAAATTTTCAAAGTCAGAACTTTACATGTAAAGTAATGACTTCACTTCTCCAAACCTTGCTGATTCAGAAAGAAAAATGCTTTCTGGGCTGAGGAGATGGCTCAAATAGGTAAAGAACATGAGTTTGAATCATCAACACCTGCATAAAAGCTTGATATGATAAATGCTGTTTTACTATAGCCCCAGTGATGACGGGCCAGAAGCATGTTGATTACTGCAGCTTGCAGGCTAGCCAGCCCGGCCTAAAAGGAACACTCCAGGTTCAGTAAGAGACCTTGTCTCAAAAATTAGAGTGAACAGTGATAGAAGATATGCAAAGTTTTCCCAGGCCTCCGTACATGCTCATATAGGTAAGCCTATCCACATATATATGTGTCCATGTTTTCATATACTATGTACACATACATTTCAAAAGAACGTCCTTTTTAGTTAAATCTCATACCAGCCCTCAGATGGTAACAACAATTTGTATTCTATTTGAAGTCTCTTTAATTCTTTTAATGAATATAGATTTTTTTCATACACTATATTCTGTTTCCCATCTTCCATCTCCTCACAGTTCCTGCCCACCTCCCCTCTGTCTGGATCCATATCCTTTTTATCTCTCCTTAGAAAACAAACAGATATCTGAGGAATAATACTAAAATAAAATTAGATGAGATAAAACAAAAACAAAACTCAGGATAGGACAAAACAAGCAAACAGATGAACAAGACCAAAGAAAAGTAGGAGAAACACATATGGACACAGAGATATCTAAGTTCACATATATAGGAATCTTATAAAAACACTAAACCAGAAGTCATAACATTTACTCAAAGTACCTGTAAAGTTAAAAAATAAAAATATGCCCTACATATTAATTTTATATCCTGCCAGTTTACTTGAAGTGTTTATCAACTGTAGGAGTTTCAAGGTAGAATTTTTAGGGTCATTTACATATTATCATATCATCTGCAAATAAAGATACTTTGGAAGTCTCTTTAATTTTAAAGTTTCTTTTCTTTTTTCAAGACAGGGTTTTTCTGTGTAACAGCTCTGGCTGTCCTGGGAACTAACTAGCTTTGTAGACCAGAATTGCCTCGAACTCACAGAGATCCACCTGCCTCTGTCTCCCTAGTGCTGGGGTTAA